TTGTCTTCTGAGGAAGTTTACAGTAGAGTGAGATAAACATCCAAAATAGTTAAGGTTGTTTATCCTGCATCACTTAGAAAACATTCTTGACATCACTTGCGTACAACTGAGCAGGGGAGCTGCTCAATCAGTGCTGACAGTAATTAAGCGCAGCTTGCCCAGCCTTGGGGCATACAGACCTTCTTTACTTCAGTGTGATATAATCTGCTTCTGTTGGGATGAGACCTGAACTGCTCATATGGTGCCTCTTGTCACAAGCCAAATTTTGGAGTGTACGAGGCTATTCCTTCAGTTTTATTTCTTCCAGAGGCACAGCTGTCATTTCAGGACACTTTACTCACCCTTACATGCCCCTGTAGTATCTGGGAGCTGGCAAAGGGGGATGAATATTGCAAAAGGATCTAATGCCATACTTGTCCACTGTAATGGCTTTACTATAGGCCTCAAGTCTGTGTGTATTAGACTTGCTGAGCAGGGACCCTGGAAGCTGCCAGCAGGTAATTTGAGACAACACAGAAACTTCAGAAATTCTTCCTGTTCTTTTTTGACTACAGTTTAGTGATGCCTGTTTGAAAGTCATCCCCTGACAGCAGGAGGAGGGAGACATGCTGAACATACAGCAGAAAGGCATTTCCCTGAAACAACAGAAACTGCCCAGACTTTTTCTTGACTCTCAGACAAAATAAGAAGGGGGCCTGACTGCACTGGTCAGGGTTGCTGAAGTTCACTTTGTCCTCTACCTATGTAGTAAGCTCATAGGTTTGGTAATACACATTCCTTTCTTTGGATGATTATTAGTTATAAGGATGTTTATTCCACGTATAAACAGCTTGATGTGCTCTTTAGAAGATGCTCTAAACCTGTTCTGCAGGAACAAAGGCTGTGAGTGTGCCTTTTCTTTGCTCTTATTCTGATCTCATGTACTTTTATATGCACATTTATTTATACAGGCTTAAGCTGCTCTTTGCTGTGGAAATACTTGGGATTTACAGTGTAGGATGAGTTTTTCACTCATAGATATGTTAGTAACAAACGGACTAAGGAATTCACTAACTCTCATACTTGAGTCAAAAGAAAGCTTGAGCATGACTCACTGAGGAATGCTTTGTACTCCCCTAATTGCATAATTACCTTAGAGAGCTTACTGGCCATTTGGCACTGGGGTCATTCCTATTTCCTCTTAGTGCAGGGAGCCCTAGCTTCTCACTGGATGCAAGCAGGACAAAAGGGAGATGTGGGGAAAATGTGTGGCCGTAGCCCCACTTTTCCTCTGTATAATCCAGGAAGAGTACTTGTGCACAACTACAAAGTCCCTCATTCTCAGGAGGGAGGCTGGAAAAGCTGGCCGTTACTAAACATAAATTAGTTGTACTAGGATATTGTCTCTATCAAATAGGATAATGTGATATTCTGAGGAGTTTGGCACTGGTACTGTGACTTTTGAATTCTAATAAATGTGATAAAAAACAGAGAAGGAGATGCTGCAAACATAGGAACCTTCCTTGCTGTTCTCAGTTAGACTATTAGTTAGACTAACTGCTAAGGAAAGAAAGAAAGGATCTCCTCAATATCTTATTCTCAAAAGCAGTAAGTAAAAAAATGTTATGAACAATATAAATAGTGTAAACAATCACAATGATGTAAAGCAGATGACAAACAAAGTGAAGGGACCTAAATGTCCAATGAGGAAAACAGAAAATGAAGTTGCTAGGTGCATTATGCTAGAATGTGAGAATTAAAGGAAGATTTGGCTGCAAAATTCTTCTGGATCTCTAGCAATCTCAGAACTGAAATTTTCAGCATTCACCCCGTGTGCAATTCATAAAGCAAATAAGTCTGTAGATGGAACAAAAACAATAAGATAAAAATGAATGCTATAGATAGCTGAGGAGGAGATATTTAAGGATAGCTGTTGAAAGTCCTCCTAATATTCTTTTATTCTGGAGAACGGCAGGAGTTTGTGTTTCCTTTTCTTAACATTTCAATGTTAAGAACATATGTTAAGAACATCTTTATGTTATCCAGCAGTGCAAAATTCATAAGCCACTTTGGAACACAGAATCTTCTGCAGATTAGTGACTGTATTACCATGGAGCCAAGCTTTCATACAGCCCTCACCTTCTTTACACTGATGAATTTAACACCCTTGCCTGCACAGTGACCTATCTTCCATTTGAAGCACCTAAAGTTCTCTTCTCCTGTCCCCCTTACAGCCCCATACTCAGTATCACCCAACCTGTAGCCAGGTGGTTATGACAGTCTCTCCAGTTGGGTTCATGAGTGAAATACAGCTGATGTCAATGCTGCCCATGTATGTTTTTGACATTCAAATAGGATGCCTGCCTGCTGGGCTCTTCAGGGAAGGTAGACATGAACCCAAGTGGTGTGGTGCAAGAAACAAGGGCCAAAAATTCTTGGTTCAGGCAAGACAGAGACAATCCTGAGCATAACATGGAGTTCTAAATACATGAGTAACTTTATTAGTGTAAACTTTGGTGTTCATGGACTTCTCTGCTTGCATGGGGTGGTGAGATTTTTAAAAATTTCTCACTTAAATCTTTTATATTTTTTAAAAAATCCTCTTCAAACAGGGGGAAGCAGAACAGTTTAATACAATCTAAGGCTGCATTAGCTTCTCCTTCATGTAAGAAAGCTTCGCTTAGAAGGTTCGCAAGGTGAAAGTGTCTGCAAGAGACAACATCACAGGGAGAGACTTGTATCCAAGCCTGGCTTTAGGAGTGAGGTTGTTGTTCTGATATAAATGGAGCATGTCTCCAAAGCAAGAACAATGTTTTGGGGAGGTTACAGAAATGAAAGATCTTTTTTTCAGTTTCCTAAGCTGATAGGTAGTTGAGCAATAATTTACCAAGTCGAAAGACAATATCCAAGACTCTGATTCTGTTCTCACAGATCTATATCTGAAGTACTGACTTCCTTAGAGCTACATCTAGCTAAAACCAACAGAAGTCAGAGGAAAGTCAGGCTTTAGATCCCAATTGTCATAGTTATCAAATAAGCAACACGTGACACCTTTGTTTGTTGTACACCTTTCCAAATCATTGCCCTACAGAGTCAAGGAATTAGAATACTGTCATGGGGGCGTTTGCGGTAGGGTTCAAGGAACCTCAGGCAGAATCTATAGCAAAGCTTCTTGCGTGGCTTCTAGCATGGCGGCAGAGGAAACTCTGTAGAAAATGCAGTCCAGGAAAGAGTTCTTAGAAGATGAAGTAGGGATTAAGCTGGAGCCTATTTTACCATTTGCTGAAACGTTCAGTGCATTTGCCTTCACGGATTCTGCATTCCAGAGGACTGCATGCTGAGTTAATAAAATCCCTCTGCTGAACAGGCTTTGGAAACTCAGATAGTTCCTGACTGCCCATATGGCAGAATTTGGCCATTGCTATTAGACAGCTGCAAGAAGTTAAAAGACAAGAAAGGGGAGACAGCACCAAAGTCCTAGGGACACACAGACATGTAGGGAGACATATGGCTTTGTCTCATGGCAGGAGCTTCCAAAGTACGTTCCTCATCAAAATGCCAGGATCCTCTTTTTTTTTTTTTTTTTTTACTTTTTCTTTCAGGAACTGCAATTTGCACTTCTGCTTTTCTTAGGTGATGTGAATGTCATTTAAGCACTCATACCTTCTGGGCTTCAGTTTCAAGCCCATTTTAAAACAATTAGCACACCTACAAGAAAAATAGCAAAACAGCACATTTCCGTTGCTCACAGACATAAAAAGAGATTCACTTTAACATTTTTCCTTGGGGAAAAAATGACATGTTCCCCAGTAACCCAGTGCCAAACCACTACTCTCTGATTTGAGTAACAAATCCCATTCTTACTGTGTCTAAAAGCCCAGACTGTGTGTTTCTTTTCTTAACATGAAATTGTGTATTTTGGTACTGCCCTCAAATAACAGTTTAGAAGAACAAAGGAGTTATCTTTATGAGACAGCCAGGGAAATACACAAAGAACAGGAAGATGTAGCTAACCTAAACAACGACACCGAAAATAAAGTAACCATCAGCCTACAAATACACAATATGAAATAAATATCATTATATTTATTAACAGGAGTCACAGACACAATTCCTTACTTAAATCTACTATTTCCTCAGACTTTAGTTCTACTTTTTTTCAGTAAAGTCACTGAATAACATTTTCTTGTTTTCCCAACTTTCTATAGTATGTATTTTCGTACCATTTATTTTGGAGAAAATTGCGTAAACCAGACGTGTGTTTAGGTGAAAGGTCAGATTTCCTAAAACAATAAAATTGCCCAAACTGCTGTTTTTGAATGGTGCAAATACATGAATTCTTGCAGAGCAGGGAGGTAAACACACACACAGCTACATTAATTAAGACAATACTTAATTTCCTGCAAAACAAAGGATTTTTTTTTTTATTTAGACTAAGTCTTTAAGGATACAGTCTCCTATTGTGTGTATGTGGGTGTGCAAAGCAGCAACTATAATTTCACAGAAAGGCAAGGGCTGGTTCTTGACCTGGGGGATGAATGGGGAAGGAATTAAAATAAATAATCATCTAAAGCAAAACCAGAATCAATTTTCTGAAAATCAGTCTCAGTCACCTCAGCGTTTCTCAGTTTCTGTAACGCAGTCTTGAACGACCTGAGTAAAAGCCTGATTCATGAGCTTTTTTCCTAGGAATTGTCCTGTTGAGAATCTTGGGTAGGACGCTAACTTGATCTATTGACTTACAAGATTTAAAATAAGCACTTGAATTTTCCACTCCTAATCATGACCAGCAGCACCGGGTGAATCACTTCCCTGATGGAGGCAAGTAACGTGTAAGAGCAGAGGGCTTATGAAGTGGCCAAGTGATTGGAAAACACTGTCAAACTGCCCGGCAGAGTAGCAGAACATACACACAGTAAACCAAAAACAAAAGCGAAAACAAACAAACCAAAAACCCCACCCACAAGCAACCCAGGCAAATCAGGAGGACACGGTACCAGTTAGGATCCTTCGCGCTTTACCTGCTGGTGGGCGAATGGCTGGAGGGGATCTCTTGCCCAAAGCTCTGCTCCATGCCCGGCATCCTAGCCGGGCTGTGGGGATGGTAGGCTGTCAGGACCACGCTGCCTGAGTCCTTTATCTCCATTATCATAGGCACATGCCTTCCCGACCGCCCGGTGACGGAGACCGCTACCGGCGCTGCCTCGCCTGAGAGCACGAGCGAGCCAGCCTGTCACCCAAGCGAGCACATGGCCTTCGTCTGTAGTAGCCTCTCGCCACCGTTTGCTGTCAGGAGAGCTGTGTAACGCCGCCGATGCAGCTCTTCTCCCCGGCAGGAAAGCTGAATTAGCATATATTCAAAAACACCGCCCACAAAACAACCCATGGGGAAGTTACTATGTTCCTAGGAAACTAGAAACCTGAGATAATCCTGCATGGCACAGAGCTACCGCAGGGGAAAACTTGCTTTGTTTCTTTTTAAGAACCGATTCCTTAATATTCCTCATGCTCCTAAAATAGGCATGGCTAAATGAAATGATTTGTCAGTTAAGCAACAGGAAGAGTAGAGGGCACTACTCAAACATCAAACGTGGTTTGGCAGAGCAGGGAACGATATTTAAAACGTCTCTTACAAGAGAGATCCAGAAACTAAGTAGGCTGTGCTCTGTTTAAATAATCAGGGAACAGTAACCTGGATTTCCTGTATGCCAGGTCATTTCTGCAGCAAAGAACTGCATTTGCTTTCTCCTGAAAACAGATTAAGCTTTCATTTCGTCTAACATCGCTGTGTACCTAATTAGAAGGGCACCGGGAAAAGAGTAACTTCTTTTCACAACAGTGTGTGTCGGTTTGGCACAGATCCATCAGCAAATATACTCCAAAATGTTTGATATTTTCTCATATTTACATGTGATCTTTGTAAGATGATTATATGTTTTCACTCAAAAGAAACAAACAAATAAAAAACTCAGGGTCCAATTCTGGAGTCACTTCTAGGGAAAACTCTGCAGACAAAATGAGAAAACCTGCACAGCCTTTCCTTTTCCCCTCCTGCTTCTTTAGTGTTAGGGGTTTTTTTTGAAAATAAATGTTACTGATAAATGACTATTCCTGCGAGCTGTTGTCGTGTTTAGGAATCAGTGGTAAGAAGTCCCTTATTTTACTCTGTGACTCCACGTACTGCTTTTCAGCCTCAGTTCTCTAAGCACCTGGTGACCATGGAGGTGAAACACCAGCCTCTGCGCTTGTTTTTCATAGCTGCTAACAACACCCCCAGCACAGGTACGGTGTAAAACACCTGCCAGGGTCTTCTTTCATACCCTTCTTTAGATAAGCTGGCTAGTTTAGATAACGCTGGCTTATGGCTGCCTAACTTACACTGTAAGTCGCTTCAGCTGGAAAAGCAGCCCAAGTTTGAAGAGCACAAAAATGGTTCAGACCAGCTAATTTCCACCTTTGCCCTCAGCTCTGTGTCCTGCTGGTAGGGACATGACTATTTCAGTCAAATATGTTGCTGGGACTCATGTAGGCAGTGCCTAGAGTTAATTTTAAATTAGCCAGCATAGGACACTGATAACAATATACTTGGCAGCACTGCTTGCCATACTCACCCAGGAAGCATAAATATTTGAACATGCCGATCCTCTAGTCTAGCTCTTGCTGCACTGTTAACATGTCCTGGATTAAATATTTTAAAGCCAAGTTGCACAGGATAAAATCGTGGTTGCTTCCACTGCAGTGTGGAGGTCCTCTTGGAGTCATAGTGCAGACACGTAAAAACACTAGAAATGAAGAAGAAAGCTCTGAGCAAACTCTGGAAGCTTTGCCAGCGCTGGTGGCATCAGGACCATATCCTGAGGTGCCATCAATGAGGACTACGACAAGTGCAATAATCAAGGAAGACCTCGTTGCGCTCTGTGATTAATGCGCTATTAAGAAGAGGGAAAGGGTCTAAAAAAATTAGAATAGAAGCCTTCATGAATCTCATATGCAAGCTCTGGAGCACTGATTGAATGCTGAGATGGAGTTGCCTGGCTGGATGTCCAGGGATGCAGCCGACATAGTATTTCCCTCTTCCTACCCTGGCTTCAAGTTCCCTTCCTAGACCAGGAGGTGGGAACTCCACTTCTCCAACACAGGACTGGGGGGAATTAACTTACTGACACCCTTTTAAAGGCACTCTCCATAGTTCATTTCAAGAAACTAAACATGTAAGGAAACGCATGTAGCGGGAGGGACCAAACACCATCAAGAATGCAGTAGGCATCTTCAAGGAGATCAGACTGAAGACCAAGCATTGGCTGCAACTCCACAAAAGTCTCTTTTCTCTACGCTTCCTCCCTTCTTAGCATCGTAGCATTAGGCTTTGTCCAGTAACAGCAGACAACAGGACAGTTATGTGCTTTAGGCTGTGTATAGGTAAAAGCCCACACTAGAACTGCCATATGTTTTAGCATTGTTTCTATTTCCTCTCTTCCTATAATAAAAAAATTAATTATGGCTCAAAAAAAATACAGATATCCTCTCCATGGTAAAATGTATAAAAAGGAGGCTCACATTTGTTAAATGGGATTTTCTCTTAAGAAAAACTTGGAAGATTTTACTTGGAGATTTATAAAGTGCTGGTGTACAAACTGGATGCTTGAATGGAAATGGCAGATTGTCTGGCATAAGTACAAATAGATATTTTGAAAATTAATCAGCCAATATACATATATCAAACTGAGAGCTAAACATGTTTATGTGCGTAATGGCTCTTGGGGTTAGATAAATGCACATTATTAAAAACACTAAAAAGTTTGCTGAATCGACTAGAGAGGCACATTAGCTATTTAACAAAGTTTTAACTGAACTGGTAATACAGCCCTAGGAAAAGTGTACAAAACAAAGTGGGCTAGCTTCTTCCTTCGGTAATATTAGTACAGTTGTATTAGTTTATGGAGAATTTATTTATCTGGCTTCTAAACAGGCAAATGGGGAAATATTTTAATGCAACAAACTTTTGTTTCTACAGGCTCTGCCTAAATACAGTATCTTGGAGCACTCAAAACTACAATACTCCTAATTGTTTTTTCAGGTGGTTAATAGCTCCATATAACTTTCAAATACTATGGAAGTACTGATCTGGTGAGAAATAATATTATGAGAACTCTTTTTAGTGGCAACCACTAAACTGAAGCTACAGAAAAAAAAAAGACAAAGGTAAGGCAAAGTTAACAGTCATGTACTGATTTTGGGATTATGCCTCCCACTTTGCACTTTTGGTCATGAAAGCACAAAAATCCTGATAGTTATTCAGTTACGTAGTAATATTTTTCATGTTTTTTTTTTTTCAGCTTGTTTTAATCAATCTTCAGCACACATCCTGCAGTAACTTTGAAATCCAAACAAGGACACAATTTTTTGGACACAACTGGGGTAGGAGTCAGATTACTTTGGAAAGGGGAAATTATCAAAGAATATGCAGCGCTGAGCATTTCTGCCTGTGCAGAGAATGCTCTGTATTTGTTATACAGCAGACAGCATTTGGATGGTTGGCATTCTAGCTGCTGCAAGCACAAACACTGATTTTCATATGGTTATGATGAAAAAGCTGGCGTCCATAGACACCCTTTACCAGAATGTGGTCTGCACACAGGAGATGGTGTCACGTTCAAATATTTTACTGTATTTAAGTGCAGATGTCTAACTGCCTGTAGTGCTTGCTGTATGCTCACTTCCACTTGTAAGCACTCTGATGTTCTTTGGAGTTCACCAAATTGGCCTTATTCTATTTGCCTTAAGAAAGCTAGCCTGAGCAAAATTCATCATAGACAGAAAAAGCAACAACTGCAACAAATCTGCAACCTTGTCCTTGAGGCTGAAAGAATTACTGCAACGTCAGAAGTCCAGGAGAGTAGTTCAGAGATGGACCAAAAATTTAGCAGAAGTTTAGGGTATCGAAGCTTCGTGAGGATGGGCCTCCTATAAGCAGTCCGGTCTAACAATGAAAAGAGAAAAACTAAGGAGTCACAGCTCCTAGCTTCTGTCCTAGATGCACCATTAGAAGTTGGAGCAGTTGTTTTGGTGAAGCATTTGCGCTAACTTCGTTTGTAGCAGTATAAATAAGGAATAACTATGCTTTAGTCAGAGGTTTATGCCAGAATAAAACTGCAGTGACATTGACCTGAGATCAACAGAATCACAGCCTGCCAACACACAAAATGTTTATGATCCCACGTAGACAATGTTTCCTATGGTCAAGAGTTTCAAATAAATCATCATTAACCTTTTAAATCCTCAGAAGGACAGTAAAGCTATTTAATTTATTGAATATTCAAGATCAGAACTGCTGACTGTTCATCCTCTGGAGTATCCTCATGGACCAGGTTAGGTGGATCAGCTAGTATATCTACTAAAAATCATTGTGTACATCCTGGATTTTCAAAAAAACTCAGTTGCTGGGTTGCATTCAGAGAGAGCAGCCCCAGCAAACTCCAGCTGTCCTGACTTTCTCTTTGTGTCCCATCTGCAGTGACTGAGATGAAGCAGACAAGTTGGGCTGCGGTCATCCCTAGAAGGTTCTTGCCACCACCTGCCACCAAGGACCATAGGACTTGCACACAGCCAGAGTCCAGGCCACTGATAAGGACAACGTGAGGACCGGGTTGACACCAGAGCCCTGGTTCAGCATGGATTTCACCAGTTTGGTGAAAACTTAAGGCCTTGACTTTGCAGTGAGATCTGTTAACACAGATGACATCGGGGAAACTGTTGCTGCCATGAGTGTAGATATATGACTTTTTTTGCTAGCAGTATGGTTCTTGCAAATTTGAGGAATGTATTAAAAAGGATAATAGGTGAGGAATTCCCTGTGATGCATTACAAAGGTACCTTCATGCTATAGTAATTCCTCCATGAAAGGAAACTTTACTTGTAAGGGACATTAATGTCCCATTTCATTTCTAATGTTTTATAAAACTGTTCAGAGGAAATTAATGGCTCTCTGAGTGCCAGATCCCAGGGTATGGGAACAGTAGGGGACCATAAATATATATATAAAAAAAACCTTAACATTTTCAGGCAGCTTTCTGACTTACCGTGAAAAATATCTCTTATTGACCCTGAGCCTAGTGATGTTCCTCATTAGAGACTGGAATCTAAAATAAGACCAGAAGAGTTAGAGTGTTTTAGATGAAAGATCATTGCTTTTGAAAACATGATTTGTACATTCATATTTAGTTCTCTGCATTCTCTCCTCCTTGT